ATAATCAAGTTTAAGGTAGGAATTTAGCTCATGTAACTTCTTATCGTACGCAAGTACCGTTTCCGCAGATACTTGCCTGTCCAGTTTTTTTTCCTTTGGGACTTTTTTGCGCCCTTCTTACCTGTATTGCCTGCTAAAAGACGTGCTAACCCCTCGATGTGCCATCTATCATATCTATGCTGGAGACCCTTCCCACAACTTTCTATTGAGACCACTTAACGACGATAATATATAGATTCTGCAGCTGCACAATAGGAGAATAAATACCAACGAAAATGCAACAGGTACGGCGGCAAACAATTTACGCTTTGAGTTTCTGAAACTAACAGTAGAGCTTCGTCAGGCATGACGCATCCCCATACTACGTCAGCTGAAAACACAAGACCAAATCGATCTCTTGATTATGTCCGCCGTGGAGATCCGTTCGGAAGCGAAAACGCTTGCGCTTAATTGGGGCTGGTCGTACTGACTGTCTGTTTCCCTAGGAGCTATAACTTACCCTAAGCGTGAGTATGCGGTGGCATCATGATGTCCATGAAGACTCCACGGGGCGCAGTGGCACAAAGAGATGATGGCATGCAGCAAAGATAATCCTGTAGTGAGCTATTTGACATCGACATTGACTTTTCTCAGCACATACGTCTGAAATCTCGCCGATTCAGCTTCCATCTATTAGTGTCTCATTAAGAAAAAAAGGTATACAACCAATTGTAGCAGTTTTCAGCATCTCACTTTATACAAGGCATAATACTATGTTTTAGTAATTGCAGCGACTTCCTGAGTCTCTTTATAGAAGAGGTATAAAATTGCGTTTTAGTAACTGTAGTGCTTTTAACGACTGTCACTCATGTCCTCGCATGTCATGTCATCAAAGTCGTGGCACGGCATGTCGCGGTTAAAATTGATTTTTGCCTACAACCGCACCATGAGCGTGTGATCCCAAAAAACGGTTTTCTACTTACAAGATTAAAGATAAAACGAAGCATGCTGCTACGAATCACGATGACAATAACACTTTCTGAGGCACTTGCAAACGCCATCCATGGCGCTTCCTGCTATCTCATTTCCTATAATATATAACGCCGGCAAAAGCTAAGCAAAAATGATCACCTTTATTGTGTGATAGCGTCGTTAGGAGCGCCTAAGACCATTCTCAACGATACTGCAAAATATGCAAGTATGACCAAAGACTTGCCCGTTGATGTGTCTTATCACCGAACCAACTGACCGTTTCCTTCACTCTGAAAAAAACTGACGCCTATTCAACAAATAGAGGCTTAAGCATTGTAATGTGTGACATTTGGCTACGATCTACAGCTTAAACACTACCGAAGAATACGATCCCACGGTTGAAAGACGTTGAACCACAATTA